GGAATACACGGAAGGCTTGGTGGGAAATGGAACTGGCAAGGAAGCTACCATGAAGCTGAAGATGTTGCAACATGTCAGATGGAAGCGTACTGCAACTTGTCTAGTCTCGGAACGTGATTTCGTCTCACACTGGATGTTCAGAAATGTTCCGGGAGTCCCTCCAGCACCCAGTGTGATTTCCAGATGGCTGCTGGCCTGAGCCACTCCGGATTCACTGCTGAATTGGATGGGAAAGACCTGACCGCTTGAGCTAAAAGCTATGAGGCCAGCCTCATTTCTGCCCCAGTCCAGGCATACCCAAAGGACAAAAAGCTCATCAAAAGCTTCCCAGAGACCCATTTGGATTTTACAAGAATTTATTTGTAATTTTGCGATTACAGAGTCCTTATTGCTGATCCAATACAATCACTCAGACATTAATAGTTAAAACATCCTTTTGAAAATATTATAATCTCTTAAGGTTTTTTTAAAAATCCTTAGTGGAGAATTCTGACATGATTTTTGTTTCCTGGTTTCATGAGATTTTGAGCACAATTCTTTATTCATCATACAGCTTTTTCTTGCTGGTGTCTATCTTTTTTCTGTAACAGACTTTAAATGTCACATTAGAAAATAAAACATTACACCGTTTAAATTGAGAGATGATCACAGAGCGTGGTGATTTCTAATTGATTAGGAAAAGCTGAGCAAGCAAAATAGCTTACAGATGAAAAAAATATGCAGAACACAGAGAAGGGGGCGGTTTTTAAACTGGAGGGAGATAAAAGCCTTTTTGGCGGGACCTTCCTGTTCCTTCCCCGCTCGAGAAAGGTAACAATGAAGAGCACAAACACTTTACAGAGGAGCAGAGCGCCCATCACGAGCGGGCGAGGGACCCTGTCCCGACACGGTCCCCCTCCCCGCTCTTCCGGTCCAGGCATCACCCCAAAATTAAGCTGTGGCGGTCACAGGTTCTCTCTTGTCCACAAAACCAAAGCTAAGTAATAAGGCGACGGCTTTGAGGGAATGCTTGCCTGGGTGGCCTGCCCGAGCACCCGAGGGACGCCCTGCAAAGCTGCTCCCGTTCCCCTCCAGCAGCCCTTGCTCCCCACCCGAGTGCAGGCCGCAGGGCCCCGGCTGCCCACCCACAAGCCGCCAGCCTCTCCCCGCCCCAAAGCATCTGATCTGCCCCCTATCCGAGAACAGCAAGCTGCAGTCCATGTGCCGTGGCATCCAGATCTGAAGATGCTTCCCATTTGGCGGAGGGAAGACCTGGCGAGGGGGCCCTGGGAAAACTGGGGGGGGGGGGGGGAATGGGCTGCTCCGGACCTTTCCATTCCCCCGTGCCACCTCGTTCTTTCCCCAGCCAGATCTACCCCCATCCAACCCTCGTCAGCCAGTTCCCTGCTCAGGGGCGTCCGTGCCAAACCCACTCCCCTCAACACAGACCGGCCGTGCTGCCCCACCCGGGGGTGCCACCTCCCCACACCGCTCTTCCCTTGGGTCTCGCCGAGGACCAAGACAGACTCCAGGCACCTGCCTGTGTGGGCCCCGGGGCCCCGGAGACCAGCTCTGCCGCGGGGAGACGCAAGAGAGAGGTGCCCGCACCGGGCCCGCTGCAGCCGCCCCGATGTGGAAGAGCGCCGCGTGGGAATGCACTTGAGCTGCTAATACCGCCCAGGCTCCCGTCCCACAAGCCGGCTGCAGCCTGGAAGGACGCTCCGGGGTTCTGGAAAGGGACTACAAGCAGCAGCTCGTACTCTGAGCGTTGGCAGGGGCAGGGGAGGGTCCTGCAACCCCAGCCAGATATGCCAACGTGCACGAGGAGAGGCTGCCGCAAGCGGCGCTCTCAGGCTTCTGTGCAGCACCCGGACAGAGTCCTGAAAAGCTTCGTCCTTGTTTGCCAGGGAAGCAGCCACAATCCGAGAGCCAGGGAAGCTCTCCCGGGGAGCACAACTCCGGAAGCATGCCTGCAGCCCACAGACCCGGCACTCGAGGCGAGAGCTGGCTGGGTGGGAGACGAGCAGGCTGCCTCCCCGCGGCACTCCTGGCCGGGCTCTTTGCCAGCCAGCCTGGAGGCCGCATGCGCCAGCCCGGAGGCAGGGCAGACGGGGCGGGCTCCTGGGCCACGCGGGCGGGCGGGACGGAGCTGGCTCAGGGCTTCCGCTCGCAGGAGGTTTCGGACTCCACAGGAGCCTGCATGGAGTCCCGAGCGAGACGGCAGCGTATTCAGGGACCACGGGAGCTTCTTGCTGTGGCACCTGCTCCTTCACTCCTGTGCACCTGAACGTGGACACGGCCCTACAGCGGAAGGCCCATCTCTTCGAGCTGCGTCACCTCTGACCTGCACCCCGCACGCCCACTGCCCAGCAGCACTCTGGGAATGGCAGGTGAGCAGTCGCCCTCCTTTCCGCGTGCGGCGTTTTTGACACTCACAACAGTCTCCTCACACTTGTGTGCACGTTCCTCAGCCAACACTGTGATGCTCCCGTTTTGCTTCTGTTTTTCACAGCCATTTCCCAGGCCTTTTGAGAACAGGGAACACGGGGCGTTAGTCTAAAAGCACTGCTTCCGTGCATGCATTTGTCGTTCCCCCACAGCCTGGCTCTGCCGCGAGGTTACAGAGGAGAAAAGCAGGCAAGAGAAAGCTCCGCGCACACAGCTCTGATCTCAGCTCTGCGATGAAACCAAGAGCAAGTACAGCGATTAACAGCCTCATGCAGGGAAGGGCCTCGTTCACTCCCGGTGAGCTGCATCGAGACCCCCAGCTCAGCTCCAGGCTGAGGTCAAGCCACTGCGGCCCGTGCTCAGAGAAGCCAAAGAGGAAAAGCCAAGCAAATTCTTTAAAGAGGAACCGAGCTCACGGCAGAAACGACAAACTGCCCAACAGCCTCTCCTGCGTGGCTGGTGACCAGCCCTGAAGCACATCGGGCACTGTCCACGGCACGCAGAGCGGCCCTCGCAGCCACGACCTCCAGAAGCATCGGGGCAGGCCCCCCTCCACGCGGAGGGCACAGAGTGCTGCTCGCTGGCCGTTTCCAGCAGCCTGCACAGCCGACCAGGAGTTCCGCGGCTCGTGGGTGCAGCACACGCTCGTCTCCCCCTTTTCCCCACAACAGAGGTGTACAAGCCTCGAAGTGACGCGAAACGCTTCGGCGGCCGCCGACCTCCGTCCAGGCCCTTCTCCGCGTATCCCAGGGCAGAAGGGACCTTTGCCTGCCGCTCAAGCCATTTCCCAACTGCTAATTTGTGCTGCTGCATCCAGGCAAGCCAAAGCCCCGCCTCTGTTTGATCCCTTCCTTCCTTCCTTCCTTCCTTCCTTCCTTCCTTCCTTCCTTCCTTCCTTCCTTCCTTCCTTCCTTCCTTCCTTCCAGCAGCAGCTCAGCCAAGCCAACTCCAGGTCCTCCACGACCCCACTCGGAAGTCCCACTACGCTCTCCTTGCCGGTAAACTGAAGGTATGCAGGTCGCGGCAGGTGCCAGTTCAGGCGATAAACGCGACGGCAAGCGGAGGAAACCCCTGGTTCCATTGCCAGACCGTAAGCAGACACGGGGCGTTTCCAAGAGAAGCGCCTGCACAGGAGCAACACTGAAGGAGAGGCGAGGGAAAGATTGGCCTCGCGACACCCGGGTCGGGCGGCCTGTCCCGGAGGGCCTGCGGGGCAGCGAGGGCTCCAGGGGAGCGGCAGCCTCTGGGCTCCGCTTTCCAGGGGCCGGCTGCTTCTGCCGGTCCTCCGGCGCATCCACGACGCTGTGCCGACGCCATTCATTTATCCCGACTTTCCGCCTGGCAGCAGTCCTCGCCGGTCACCCAGACGCTGCACAGGCACTGCCCCTTCAGCCGGGAGGGGAAAGTCCCCCAGGGAACCGGGGGCTCCTCCTCCAGACAGAAGGGGCAGGCGCTCCCTCGGATCCCGCCGCCAGCCACGCCACGCTGCTCCTGCCCGAGGTCACACCGTATCTCCGTGGGGCCCCGATCCACGCAGCATCCAGAGAGACACACTGGGAGCACCCGAGGGGAAGCGTTTTCTGAGCAAGACACGTCAAAAAGGGTTGGTCTGGCGCAAGATCGGCGAAATCCGAGACGTGCCCATTCCAAGCCCTGAATCACTGGAACCTGCACATGCCTTGTAAATACATAAAAAGTAGATTTTGTCACTTTGGGACTTCGGGCAAATTCCTGATCAGGCTTGCAGCTGTTAAGGAAAAGCACCCAGAAAGGGGAGGCTCGGAAATTTCTTACGACCAAATATTCTCGGCAAGGACTGAGAAGACCCTTGGCACAGGCGGACCCCCCCAAGGCAAGCGGAGCCCCTTCCTCCGGCTGGTTGCGCCGCCCCACCGTGGTGCATCAGCCGCGACAGACGCGCTTTCTCTGTGCGGGGCTGGCAAACGCAGGGCAGGGCCGCCAGAGCGTGCGGCTCGGCCACGTCAGCCTGACGAGGGGACGTTTGGGGAAGGACCGGCTGGTTGCAACGCGCACGACAACCCTGCAGGAGCGAGGCATGGCGTGCGCCAAACGGGGACTCCCCCCAGAAAGTGTGGGGCTGGCAACCTTTGTTTAGCCCCGCTCCCCAAAAGTCGCCCCTTTGCGCGAGCAGCTAAGCAAAGCAGTGGGTGTCCCCCAGCGAGACTGGAACTGTCCCGCCGCGTCTGGCGCTGGCCGCGATGCGGGTGCCCCTTTTCCGGCGGCAGGGCAGCTCCCGGTTCCCGGCGAGGCTGCGGCCACCATCCATCTGCCACGGCGTGAGAGCAGGACGAGGCGGAAGGAAGCAAGAGTGGGGGGCCCCCGACACAGCCGGCTCCTCCACTCCCCCCTCCCTTTGCTGGACACGGGATTAAAGCGACGGCGATCGCAGGCGGCTGGACGCTGGCAGGGCCCCCTGCACCCCCCGCGTGGCCAGACGCTCCGCCCCTGCCCAGCTACTGCTCTTCCCCCACCCGCCCCCGCCCCCGGGAAGCCGCGGCCCATCCTCTCACAGTCTCGTGGCAGTTCAAAAAACACCATGGGCAGAGGCCGCATTTACAGTATTCTAGTTTAATAAATAAATAACCTAACACACTGCTCACTACGGCGGGGAGCCCGGTTTGAGCTCGAGGAGCCTGTCCGGGTTCAACCTGTACAGTGGCCGGGGGGGGTCCTGGGCCGAGTTCCTCCCCTTGGTTCCAGCTGCAGCTGCAGGGAGTCAATACCTGGCCAAACGACACAAAACAGCTGGTTAGTCAGTCCGGAGCATCTGCCTTTTCCTCTGCCTGGAGATATTCGAGGGGGGCAGAAAGAGGCTGCTCCGACATTTGCCCTTGACGCTTTCGAGCGCTCCTCCCACCCCCGGTCCTGCTGAGGGCTAGCCCAGGCCCAGCAGCTTTCCTGGGGGGGCCGCCGGGCTGCCTCCTCGAAACGCGTGTCAAGGCTCTTAGTTGGGCGAAGCCAGCCGGGTGAGAGGGCATCCGTCCTGCGCCCAGGAGACCCTCATCGGACACGGCTGGGAAACGCGGAGAGGGCTGCGCTGCGCCGCCTCAGCCGCTGGGTCGGCCTTCAGCTCCTCGGCGTCCCTGGGCCCTTCCTCCTGCCTCTGCCCCAGGCGGGGCACAGAAGGGCCCCCAGCTGCTCTCGCCCTCATCCTGAGCTGAGGAGTCCGCCCACGACACACGGATCCGACACGGAGGCCTCGTCGCTGCGATCCGGCCTCCTCCCGCCAGGCCACACCGGCTCGGTCTCCCCGTGGCACACACGGCCGGTTCTGTGGCGGGCAGAGCGTGGCGCTTGTGGGCAGCCCGAGGGCGCCTGTCCACGGGATCACTGCGGGGCTTCCCAAAGCTCATTCCTCACCACCACATGAAACGGGGGTCACCGTCGCTTTGCCTGAGGGTACCTGATCCCCACCCGGCTGACGGGGCAGGAGGACCCACCGGGAGGGTGTGGCAGCCCCCAATGAGGGGCACTTGGCCTGGCCCTGCAGCCCCTAGCTGCTCCTGACGGCCCACCAGCACGGCCCGGCAGGCAGTGCCAGATTCACCCCATGGGCGCCCCGCCTGGTCCAGAGGTCAGAGCGAGAGGGATGCGACCCACCACCTCCCGACCTTCCCCACCGGTGGGGGGGGGGACGACGGGGGCAAAGGGAGCTTGAAAGCCCCTTCCTGCAATCCAAAGCCCCTTGGGAGCTCCCGAGGACACGACGGGCCGTTTCTGAGGGGCTTGCATCCCAGAAGCCCCAGCGCCCACGTGCCCGGCGGGGGGGGGGGCGCTTTTCGTGTGGTCCTAATAAGAGAAAGGGGCGTACCGGTAGTAGTTGGGCTTGAACGGGCCGTTCTTGTTCAGCCCCAGGTACTTGGCCTGCTCGTCCGTCAGCTCCGTCAGGTGTGCGTCGAACGTCGGCAGGTGAAGGCTCGCCACGTACTCATCTAAAAGGAAAGGGGAGCGTGGCTCGTTGGCGTGGCTCGTGGGGGCGCTGGGCCCGGCTGTGCGGGGTGGGGGGGCACTCACCCATTTTCTTAGGCAACAGGTAGACGTCCTGCTTGTAGCGTCCCTCCGGGGCGTTGTACAGCTCTATCAAGGCCAGGGCCTGGAAAGCAACGCAGAGCGGTTCTGCCCTGAAAGGGGCCCACAGGCGATCGAGGACAAATCCGTGCATCTCGCACACACCTCCGCCATCGCCCAGGCCTGCGGGCATCGCCGGGGGTGGGGGAGCCTTCTGTGGTTGGGAACAGGGCCAGGAGGGCCGGGGGGCAGCCGGGCTCGGACCCCGGCCCACAGCGGCACCTCTTGCGCAGCAGCCCGCGTGGCGGGGGGGTCCGTCAGTGAAAAGCCCGAGCGCAGGGCCGCTGCTGTCCCTCCCGTGGGCCCTCGGCGGTGGCCCTGCCAACCGGGGCCGGGGGCGCCTGCTGGCCTCAGCGGCTCACGTGTCCCTGCCCACGTAACATGCTGGATGGGTGAAGCACCTCCAGCCCGCCGCAGACACAGGCCTATGGGCTGGCAGACAGGGAGGGAGGGGAGGGCCAGAGCTCCTGAAGCCCTGAAGGAAAGGGCGCGGGTGCCAAGGCTGTGCTGGGGGCAGGGTGGGGGGCTCACGGGAGCCGTCTGGCCAGTGCAGCCAGTCGCAACAGAGCAGCCTGAGGGGGGAAGCGGCAGGGGCTGGGCAAGCCCCCCCCACACCCACGCTGCCCCCCAGATGTGCTTTGCCCGACTGCAGCCAGGTGCCGGGGCAGCTCCTGGCCGACACCGAACTGCCCAGGCTGGTGAAACCTGCAGTACGTCGTGAAGAGACCGTTCTGAGGCTTTTATGTATAGGACGGGGTACAATAGTTTAAAAAAAGAAAAAAACGAGCTGCAAAAGAATTTTCTCTCAAGTCGATACCAAACGGGCAGCTGCATTTAAAGGCGGTCAAGTGCCGAAATGATGCATTTTGGGGGAGAAAAAGGCCAACTTCACACACACACAGACCGTGTCTAACTGGTAGCGAGTGACCCAGAAAACAGATCAGGAGAGTCCCCATGGAGTCTGCAACGTCCCCCCAAGGCTGGCCTTGCGATCTCACGGGGCCCCAGCCAGGCCACACGGAGGGCCCTCAACCCATGAGGGGCCAGGTGCTCATCCACGGAAACACCGCTGCTGTCTCGCTGGGCGCCTCCTGCGGAGCAGAAGGGGCTCTGCTGCTGGGACCAGCCCTCAGCCCCTCCGCCAGCGCACCTGTGGGCACGGAGGCCTCGGACCCGCCCCGCCCGCCTCTCCGGCTCACCTGCGTGGTGGCCGTGATGGACAGCACAAAGGTCGGGACCGTGGAGCAGCTCAGGTTGAGCAGGCGTCCCTGGAAGACAAGCGTGGATCTGTGGGCAAGACCCGCCTCCCCCCCACAAGTCACCGATCCACGTGGGGGGCGGCAGGGGAACCCCGCGCCAAGCACGGCGCGCGAGGCTCTGAACCAGCCCGGGTGGAGGTCGACATGGGCACCCCCCTGGGGCCGTGCCCTCACCAGCCGGTGCCCTGGAGGGGATTCGGGCACAGCCCGCCCAAGCAGCTCCTGGAGACCCCCAGGGCGGGTTCTGCCCCCCACCAAAAGCCCTCATGGGCCACGGGGCTGCCGCTCACTCACCTCTGCCAGCAACACCACCCGCTTTCCGTCAGGCCAGATGACATGGTCCACCTGGGACCTCACCCTCTCCCAGGTGAGCTCCGGTGTACGCAGGCTAGCCTGAAAGGCAGTGCCAGACCGGTCAGCAGAGACCCTGGCAAGCACCCCAGGGCTCCCTGAGGGTGACCCAGCTGCGGCGGCCCCCTTGTCTCTGCTCGTGCCCTGGCCCACGGTGGTCCCACGGAGCTCTCTGTGGCCAAGAGTCGTCCCCCGAGCAGTGACCTCCGAGTGGCCTTCGTGTGCTGCCGCTGGCGTGTCCTGCTCCCCCGTCTCGGGGGGGGGGGCCCTGCTGGGTTCTCATATTATGGGGGGAGCCTGTGCACCTCCCTGCACCAGGCGCCGTTTGGGGTCCTCTCGTGCCGAGCGGAAGAGGACTCAACGGCATCTGGCGGAGCCCCTTCTCGCATCTGTCCCGAATCTCCCACCAACCGGCCTCAGACCCGCGGGAGAGTGGCTGCAGCCCCTGGCCGCTTCAGGCCCCCTTTCCTAACCCCACGCTCTCCCTTCGAGGACATTGTGGCATTGCAAGGGCACTAGCACCACAGGTTTTGAAGGGCGCACGACGCCGGCAGCCCTGCTTCCAGCGCATGTTCCAGTTGTGCCTGGCGTGGGATGCGCCTTTCTCGCGGCGGCTGCACGCTGGGCCGGCACTGCCACCCAACTGCCTCCACCGCCCCGAGATCGCGCCTTGGCCAGGCGCCGCTAGCTCAGATCCCACCAGCACACAGGCAGCGACGGCACCCTCCACCCCGCGAGCACCAGCCTCCCGACGTGGGAAGGCTCGCCCACTCCCGCTGAAGTGAGGGTGGCTCAAACGGGCGCCGGATGAGGCGAAGGCCCGACAGATAAGCCTCAACTCGGGGGTGCTCTCTCGGGAAGGATCTGTCGGCCGCTGGAATGGCTTTGCTTCCCTGCACGACCCAGCCCTGATCTGCCCTCTGGGCAGCGTGGATGGACGGCAGGAGCACCAGTGGCCCCTGCGAGGTCCTTGGTCGTAACTGAACGCCTATGGTGCTTGCTGGCTCAGAAGAGGGCATGTCCCGGGGACCCCCCAGCCCGCCCGGTGCTTCTCAACAACAAAACAGTTATCGGAGACGGAGACGCCAGCTTCTGGGCTCCGCTGCCCACAGAGGGGCAGGTCTGGGAGCAGAGACCTGAAAGACCCCAGGCGCTGCGTGAAGCCCAGCCCCGGGGGCGGGCGGGCGGCTCTCAGCCCCTTCACCTGGGACTGGCCCACACAGGGAAGGAGGGGGGCGCCCACTCCTTACCACATCGATCTCCGTGTTGGAATGTCCCATGTTGCAAACGATGCAGCTGTTCTTCATGCGGTCGAGATGCTCTCTGGTCACGACATTTTTGTTGCCTGCGGGACACAGAGGCGACGAAGGCGAGCGGGGAGGTCAGTCGTGACTGGGGCCGCACTCGGCCCTCGCACGGACCGGCGCAATTCCCCAGTACGCTCTCCGGCCGGTGGCACCCTCCTGGATATGCCCCCCAACGGAGCCCCCACGAGCCGCGCAGGGCTGGCGAGGGACCACACGTGGCCGCTCCTGGCAGCCCCCCTCAGGGCGGGGCCACCTGCGTACCTGTGCAGGTGATGACAATGTCCACTTGCCGAATCACTTCGTTCAGTTTCACAAGGCGGAAGCCGTCCATGCTGCGCGGAAGAAGCAGACAGCCTTAGCAGCAGTGGCAAGAGCGGGCGCCTGCCCTGCCCTCCGCGGCGGGCCTGGGAGCGCTGAGCGTGCCACAGCGGGGGGCTGGGCCCCCCCGTTCAAGCGCTTGGCCAGCCGGCCGCTCGGCTGGGGCCCCTCCGGCGTTCCGGGCTTCCCTGAAGGCCTGCGCAACGGGAAGCTCGCAGCTGCCTCAAAGAGAGGGACTTTCCTCCGCGGAGCCAGAAAACCCAGGATTTGCTGTTGGGAACTTCCACAAAACACCACTCGCTGGTTCCAGACGGAAGCCAGCCTGGCCCTCGCAGCGCGCCACGCCTTTTGCCAGCTTTGAATATGCTCGGCAAACAGCGCCTGAGAGAGGCGCTACCGCAATGCCCCACGGGTGCTACATGGAGGAGAGGAAAGGCAGATGCGCCTACACGCCCCCACCGGCTCCTGCACTACTGAGCTTGGCCTCCAGACCAGGAGCCACCCCGGAAGGCAAGAGCTTCTCCAGGCAGCGGCCGACGTCGCCCACTGCCTGCTCTGACCAAGCGGCCTCTTATGTTCTCCCCCGCGGATATCCGGCTCATCTCCCAGCACAGAACTCCAGGCAGCATCCAGGACCCTTCCCTCTGGGCCTGGCCCCACTCAGCTTTCCGCCAAGGTCTGTCTGCACGAACGCAGGGCGTGACGGGTGCTAAAACCGCCTGCCTCGCTGGCCTTGGCCTCTGGAGGAACCTTCTCCAGCCTGGTGCCCCCAGAAGTGTGGCTCAGCTACTCCCTCGGGGCTCCACGGAGGCAGGGGGATGGCCGCGCCAGGGGAAAGGCGCGCCCCAATCCGCGAGCCAAACCCCGAGGTAGCGCCCCCCAAGACACAGCAGGGCCTCGGCCCGAGCCCGCAGGGCTGCTCTGCTTTTCCTCGCAGTCAGGGAGACCTCTGCTTCCCCATGAGCGAGGCGACCTCTAAAAGAAACCCTGCTCCAGAAAGGATTGCGATGATGCGCTGTGCAGAGGAAGGGCCTCTGGGCTCCCAGGACTGAGGGTGTGGGCCTGCTGAAGACCCTCAAGATTCTCCGGCCAAGCCTTAACCCCCCAGCCACGAGCACACCACAGGAGGTCACGCCGCAGATGCCTCTCGCAGCCTCTCCCCCATCCCATCCTGCCCTCGCTTCCGCAGGGCGCCGGCGATCCCGGCTGACGGGACGCGGCCCCTCGGCTGACCCGTTGCCAGAGCGGGGGCAAAGGCCCCATCCTGCAAGAGGCTGGCAGCCGCCCGCCTCTCGGGGTGCCGGGCTTACCAGGCCTGCAGGGCGCAGATGGGGTCGATCTCCGTCACGTAGACGATGGAGCCCATGGCCTTCAGCGCAGCGCAGCAGCCCTTGCCGACCTGCAGCGGGAAGGTGGCCGTCAGGAAGGCACCCGCAGCCCTCCGGGGCTAGCCCTCTCCTCCTCACGGGGTCCTGCGCCCACCTCTCGGCCACCCGTGCCACGGAGTGCCCAGGCTTCGGCTGCCGAGGGTCCACGGCACACGGGCGGCCGAGACGCTTCTCCGCCTCATGCGCAGCAAACGACGCTGGCGTGGCGCTGGCCCCAGGCCACGTCTCAGGGCCCCCTGCAGAAACGGCTGGCGGCTTTAAAATGGATCAACCTCCCGTGGTCACTTAGACATGCCGTTTGCGATGGTCAATGGTACATACTGGGATTAAAAACTCATCCCCGGCAGTGACGAAGGAAGCAACAACTGAATTAAAGAACCAGAGGATGAGATCCAAGTGACAGGAAGGCAGGATCCGACACCGGCGTCCCGTCACTGGCAAGTCTCTTGTGCAACGGAAAGGCCTTGGCAGGCCTTCCGAAGAGCTGAGGTGAGCTGGCCGGACAGTCTTCCCAGGGAGGACTGCCCGCCTCCCCAGCGGGCACGCGCCCCCACAGGGGCTCTCCCTGGTGCAGTCCAGCCCTGGCACCAGAGCAGGTCCCCTGCCCTCCCTGGGGCTTCAGCGCCCTCCGGGGAGCTCCTCCACAGGCCTGGTGCGTCGGAGGCCCCTCGGGGGACGCAGACGGAGGCCCCGCGGTGCAGAGGTCCGGCCGGAGGAGGGAAGCTGTGCCCACGCGGCAGGGGCAGCTCGTCCCGAAGGGCATGCCAGGCTTACCTCTCCGTAGCCGCAGACGACCACCTGCTTCCCCCCAAACATCATATCCGTTGTCCTTTTAAGGCTGGAAGGGAGCACAAAGCGGGACACGTGCGCAGTTAATCTTCCCGTAGAGAAGTCTCAAGTAGGAAATGGCTCGGCGTTTAGCTTTCTGCGCAGCGACGGCTTCCGTCGCGACCCTCGCCAAGCGGTGAGTGGCGTCTGTGGCGTGTCTGTGCTGCTGCGCCAGACGCGGGAGGCACCGTCCTCGCCAGCCTCCGTGGGACAAGCGCGCTGGCTGCCGCAGCCACGTGCGCAGCTCAGCCGGCCTGCGTACATTACATGCGCGGCAAGGCCACGGCCCACATTGCGCCCACCCACACGCGCGGCAGCTGGTTGCCCTTCCCGGAGTTTCCAGACAGAACCCGCCATGCGAGGGCCGCGGGGCTCCTGGAGGCACAGGCCAGAAGAGCCAGCGAGGGACAAGGACGGGGGAGAGGGGCCGGCCGGGCAAGGCTTTGCACCAGCAGCGCGGCAGTGGCCGGGCCGCCCCGCAGCGCAGCTGGTGGGACCGCTGGGACCCCCGGCACACCGGCCCCCAACCCGCACCCACAGCAGGGGCCTGGAAGGAGCGGGCTGCCCTCCTTTGCGGCCTTTCCGTGCACTGCCCCTTCTGCAGAGATTTCACTCCCTCTTGTCCTTCTGCCCATGAATTCTTGGCTTTGCTCGCACTCCCCGTGCCTCCTCTTCAACTCCAAGGTCCATGGGACACTGCGAAGTCCCCGCCCGGGCCATGCTGGGGTTCGGCGCTTTGCTCTGTGCAGCGCCAAAACAGCCGGAGAGGCGGGACGCCCAGAACGGCGGCTTCCAGGGGAGCCGTGCTGCTCTGCACACGGACACCCGGCCTCCCGTGCGCCCCCTCTGCCGAGCTCCTCTGCAACCGTGTCCTACATTGTCATCTATTTTTAGCAGACCAGTGAAATAGGTTAGTGGTGCTCAGGCTGCGCACGCAGGCCCCGTTTCCCACTGAGCGTGGGCAGCTGTCCCAACGGACCGAGCCGCGATTCTGCTCCAGTTTCTCATGTTCCATTTTACGAGGGGCAAGGTGCGCTTCTCCCAGCTGCCCGGCCTACTTGCGTCTTTTAACCCTTTTCGCACCAGACACGTGGGCAGGCAAGCGCTTGATGCGAAACCCCACGAGGCTGGCGTTGCACGCCTGAGAGCGCAGCCATGGCCGTATCGGTGGGGGAGCGAGAGGGGCTGGCTACGCTTCTGTCTTCTGGCAAGCCCCCTGGGCTTCATTCTGCCTGAGGCTGTCCACCTGTCCCCCCGATGCAGGTGGGAGCACACCTGCTGAATTTGTTCTTCAGGAAGGGACCACCCTGCACGTGGAAGGCAAGCCTGCCGAGAGGAAGGTTCCAGCTCAGCGGTGACGTTCGGTGACGCAAGCGCGCCTGGAACCGGGCCGCCTGGGCAGGGCTGGACGCCCTCCGCAAGGCCAGTGTCCTCCTGCAACCGGCTGCCCTCAAGATGTGCTGGACGACCCCCCACAGCCGTCGCCCAACACAGCTGGAAGGCTCCAGGCTGGGGAAGGCCACCTAACGACGGGCTGTGTGACACACAGAACTGCCCCGGCCAGACCGCGGCAGCTCCTCCTCCGGTATCGAGGCGCCTCCGTAAGGCAGGCTGCTCCCACGGCCCATGTGGCTGGGTCTCGGGGGGCAAGGTGCGCCCAGGCACAAGGCCGCACCAAGTGGAGAGCGCCAAGCGGGCTGGGCCCTTGGGCCCTGCCCACTCCCACCTCGCCTGGGCACCCCTCGTGCAAGAGCCACTCTGCCACTGGCATCCCGCCCCCGGGGAGAGGAGGAACGGGCACCTGGCGACCACGCCAAATGCAGTGCAAGGAATAAGCTGACGGACATGCTGATACAATCTGCCTGCAGTATTTTTCTTGTTCTACTCGATTCGTGCAAATGTGGTTAAAAGAAGAGCACAGCCTTTGCATGATAAACACTTCATTTTCTCCGATGCTTGCGTTACTGAGTGATAACCACATTCCCCGTGTCAACAGAGGCCTGCTGGATTTAGGAACAATGGGCTAATCCTCTTGCTCTGAAGCTAGCAACAACCTGGGTTTGCTGGGAAGAGATTCAGAGCAGGGCAGGGCAGTAGGGCCTGCTTGTCTCCATCCTCCCCTGAAGAAGTGCTGCTAAGCCTTATTTTGCAGGGGGGGGGGGGGGCGCGCGTGTGTGTGTTACATTTGACTTTTTAGAGCCAGAAGAAATGATCCTCCACCAAGGAAACCTGCTTCTCAGCCAGCCGCTCACAGTTCTCTTAATGTCCCTCTCCAAGTGTTCCTATTTATTACCGGGAAGGCCTCCGACGCCTCTCAGAAAGTTCATTTAAGCAGCAAGATACTAACCCATCGAGAATGGACTCCCGGCAGCAATAGAGGTTGTCAAACTTCTGCTTGGTGACAGAGTCGTTGACGTTCATCGCTGGGACGCAGAGCTTCCCTGCCTTTGACAGCTGGTACAATCTGTGGCGAGGGAGAGAAACGACGGGAGGATGGGCAAAGGCCTGCTCCAGGCCCGTCAAGGTCCACCGAGCGCACGGCTGACGCTGACGGACGGCTGCAACCGCAGCGCACCGACTCGAATACCTTGGCTCTGTCTCCAGAGGAACTTGCTTTTACTCCAGAGCAGAAGGAGCAGCTGAATGGCTGGAAGCCAGTTCAAGCTGAAGGGCTGCTTCCCTCTGAGCTACCAAGGATGGCCACCCGCAGGATGGTCCACCCGGGGAAATAGTGGCGGGGGGACCTGCGTGCACGCGTGCACAGAATCCGAGAGAGAGGGGGGCCGGAAGCGCATTCCCATGCAGTGTCCTCCTCCGGTCCTGCACGACCACGCACAGCTGGTTACACAATCAGCACGCAGAGGCACTGGCAGGGCCCGGAGAGAGAACGGGGGTGACTAAACTGACGGAATTTGCGTTCTCTCTTGCCTGGCTCAGCCCCAGAAGAACCAGGCTAGCTCTACGTGATGCCCACAGCACACCAAAATGCTTCTCGGCCCGTTCCGTGCTGCAACACGGTTCCGGCTCTTTTCTGGAGGGCCCTTGTGCCGCGGTCGAGGACCGTTCCTTTGGAACAGCTGCTCAATGCACGCAGAACACTGGAAGGCACATCTCTCGATCAACACCGCATGGCCCCCCATTTCGCCTGCCGTTTCGGAGCTTATACCCTCCCATTCCCCCAGTTTGCCTGATTCTGGATGTCCAGGGTCCGGAGACCAGCTCATCCCTCAGGACCTGACAGAAGGGAGGCGAGTCCGTGGTTACAGGGGGCACCACCCAACCCAAGTGCGCAGGTGTGGTTACCTGTGGACACCAGTGACGCTCTCTTCTACAATCCCTTTGATCTTCTTGAACATATTGGGGTACTTCTTGTAGATCCAGTGTGTGAGGTCCCCCCCATCATCCAAGATCTGCAACAACAGAAAGACCTGCTTGTTCCGACAGAACTGTGAAGCGGGGAAATTGGCAAGGAAGTCCAGCAAGGTCACATTTACTTTTAAACAAAGAAATTCCTAAAAATGTGGTGATTAGTCAAGATGACGCTGAAAAGGAGAATGAAGAGGTCAGATACATCCAGGGGGCTTGAAGGTTATTTAAAAACACTGCAATAGAAGCAGAGATAAAAATGTGTACCATGGATTAAGTAAGGCACAAAGTCATGTATCTGACACGCAAAGTCAAACAAGCGAGAGCAGCGGTGACATTCCAGTGCTAAGAGAGTTGAGTCACATACAATACCAAACCATGGCTTGGTGTTGCTCCCAACCCTGCTTTGAAGGGCTCAGATGCAATGGCAAACTTGGGTTACTGGGAAAAACAGAAGCAGCTTGCTAAAATGCAGCATGTGAGGAAGGGGGGCATAAACAAGCACAGCACCAAGTCATGTGAACACGAAACTGTGGCTTGGGGCACACACACAACACACAGCCGAGTGTTCCTAAAGGTTTCAGAGCAAAATCTATGATGGATGGAAGCACCTGCTCCATGAAGGAGGCGCTGGCATTTGCTGGGATTTAGTTTGTGGATGTCGTTGTCGCTAGTTGCAAAGTCGTGTCCGACCCATCGCGACCCCATGGACAACGCTCCTCCAGGCCCCCCTGTCCTCCACCGTCCCCCGGAGTCCACCTAAGCTCACACCAACTGCTTCAGTGACCCCATCCAGCCCCCTCATCCTCTGCTGTCCCCTTCTTCTTTCACCGTCAATTGTTCCCAGCATTTGACTCTTTTCCAGGGAGTCCTTCCTTCTCATTCGGTGGCCAAAGTATTTGAGTTTCATTTTCAGGATCTGGCCTTCTAAAGAGCAGTCGGGGTTGATCTCCTCTAGGACTGACTGGTTTGATCGCCTTCAGGTCCAAGGAACTCGCAGGCGTCTCCTTCAGCACCACAATTCAAAGGCCTCAATTCTTCAGCGCTCAGCCTTCCTTATGGTCCAGCTTTCACAGCCATACATTGCAACTGGGAAAACCATAGCCTTGACTATACGCACTTTTGTCAGCAGGGTGATGTCTCTGCTTTTTAGTATGCTGTCTAGATTTGCCATAGCTTTCCTCCCCGGGAGCAAGCGTCTTTTAATTTCTTGGCTGCAGTCCCCATCTGTGGTGATCCTGGAGCCCAGGAAAATAAAATGTCACTACCTCCATTTCTTCCCCATCTATTTGCCATGAAGTGAGAGGGCCGGATGCCATGATCTTAGTTTTCTTAATGTTGAGTTTCAAGCCAACTTTTGCACTCTCCCTCACCTGCATCAAGAGGCTCTTTAGTTCCTCTTCACTTTCTGCCATTAGAGTGGTATCATCTGCATATCTGAGGTTGTTATTTCTACTGGCAATCTTAATTCCAACTGGTGATTCATCTAGCCCCACCTTTCTCATGTGCTCTGCATATAAGTTAAACAGGCAGGGAGACGGTATGCAGCCTTGCCAAACTCCTTTCTCAATTTTGAACCAATCCGTGGTTCCGAGCCAGGTCTCACTGTTGCTTCTTGACCCGCATATAGGTTTCTCAAGAGACAAATAAGATGGTCTGGTACTCCCATCTCTTTAAGAACTTGCCACAATTTGTTGTGATCCACACAATCAAAGGCTTTAACATAGTCAATGAAGCAGAAGTAGATGTTTTTCTGGAACTCCCTAGCTTTCATGATCCAGCGTATGTTGGCAATTTGATCTCTAGTTCCTCTGCCTGTTCGAAACCCTGCCTGTACTTCTGGTAGTTCTCAGTCCACATACTGCTGGAGCCTCGCTTGTAGGTTTGCGGTAGGGGAGAGAATTCATGGGGAGACGCAAGTTGGGAGACATACAGAGTGACGCACAGCATGGACAGAGAGTCAGAGAGCCAGTTCTCCTCTCCCATTATGCCAGACTTCAGGGGGAAGAGGTCCCCCAGTGAAAGCGACTGACAGCAGATTCAAGACGGGGAAAAAAGACGTGGTCTCCATGCAAAACATAACATGACTATTCACGGCCCCAAGATGGGATTAACACTGGTGCAGATCAGACCTCCCCAACCTCATGTCCGCCAGTAAGAAATCCCAGGATTTCGGAGCACTGGCCATAGCAGCTGTGAGTAATGGGAGCTGAAGTCCCAAACAACTGGGCTGAGCAACCCCCCCCCCCCCGATAAATGCTGCAAAGGTCGATGTGGCATTTGTGCTTAAGTGAAGATAATCGGCAACCTCCCCAGACCACAACAGAGTAAGCTTGCAGAGGGAGCTGAGCTATCTGGTGTAACTGGGGGCCCCTCCATGTCATGGTTTTTTGGTCCCAGTGCTGACAACCTTGTTCCTGGATATCTGCAAAATATATAGCCACATAAATCATCTACCAATCAAGGAAGAGCTTTGCTTTAAAAAAAATCAGAACTTCTGTTGCAAGTAGAACAGAAAAAAGAGCAAAAGCGACAACTGAAAAAAGGGCTCTGGGGGACACGGGAGCCCCTGCTTCCATCGATTTGCTTCCAAGACTTGGCTGCTCTCCCTTCCCGCAACGGGCCTTCTGCGTGTGCCCAGCGATAGCCAAACATTCGCTCGTGCACCAGGAGGGGCCACAACTTCACAAACCTGGTGAGTTTGGAAGCGCAGGCCTGTTGCACAAAGATGTGCTAGATGCAGGAATTTACTGTATGTTACATCCAGCTAAAATACAGAAATGTACCTGGTATGGTGCCTAAAATGCATCATTACCTGGAAAGGTCTAAACAGACGTCGCTTAACCTGGTGCCTTCCAGATGCACCGGGCAGCAGCTCCTGACACGTCCAGCCAGCAGCAAAGCACCGGCTGTTCCCCACTTGGAGTTAGTGGGAAGCCTCGTCCTGAGTTTTCCGATGATGCAGCACCCTCTGCTGGTTCTGCTGAAGCCCTGCTTTGCATCCCAAACCCTGGCACAGCCAGGGGGCTGCAGGGGAACCGCCCCCCTTAAAAGCAAGGCCAGTGAATTCCCAGTTTTAAGGACCGAGAGCCAGTGGCCGTGGATGCTGTGAATGGACTGCAGGCAAAGCAGAAAGAAATGGCCTGCAGCTCGATGGGGCTTGCAAATTTCAAGTGGAAGAAGTATAATTTCAGAGTCGTTCTGTCAGGCAGAAGCCGCAGCAGAGTCCTGCACTTCCTGCAGCTAAGACGCGAATTGCACTGCTGTGCCCAGAAGTGCATTCCGTGACTCTGCCTGCTTTTTATGTGAGACCTGGGGATCTGAGTGCAAGAGAAAGAAGAATCAGAGCACACTGCGACAGCGATTTCAAGGAGCTGTTCTGAGCCGGTCACCATTCTGCAGAATTGCAAGAAATATACCGAGCACGGTGGTGAGGCTCGAAGTTTGCCTTTGGGTGGCTTTGGCGGGTGCTGCGGTGATCGGCTGTCACGTGGCCGCCGGTGCGGAGGCAGCTTCCTGCGGGCACCGCCTGGAGAGGCACCGTGCTGGGCAAGGGTGGCCAGCTCAATCCCAGCTGGCGCGTCACACCGTGGGCGCTGGGGGCGGCTGTGAAAAGCTCCGCACGGCGCTGAAACCGGCTCGCCCTGCTCCCTCCTGGTGGATCTTGCTAGCGCTGCATTGCCCGTGAAGGTAACGCCAGAGGGAAATGGCCAAGGGGGAGCGGGATGCCCGGCCACAAGCGGGGGGCCAGCAGCGCCTGCACCGGCCTTTGGCTCAGGCCGCATCGTCCCAAGATCAACGGATCAGCAGCCCGGAGAAAGGTTTGCAAACAAAGCGCATTCTTCCCTCTCAATCAGGCTTGGGCTCATTAATCTTTATTTAATTAAGAAGGTTGCATAATCCACTTTTTCTCCCTTCCAATGCCCAAATAGGGCATAATTGCCGATTTTGGCTGGCCTCCCCTGTCCCTTCAGGGAACGAAGAGCAAAGGCGGCGCTGAGGCACGCCTGGTTCCTGGAAGGGGCACCCTCTCTGGCAGCAAGCACCAAGCGTTGCCTCTTTCGTTACAGGGCTGTCCGCATGCCGCTGGGCTACAAGGAGGCGGTGGGCTCGGCTGTGATTGGAGCTGTACTCTCGCCCACCTGGAGAAGGCGGCCCCCGGGTAGCCAAGGGCCCCTGGGTGGGGGCACCTGCTCAGCTCCTGCCGCCAGCTCACCTTCCCTCGTTTTTTAGGAAGTACCAATAGGGTGCGTGCCACTCTGCAAAATCAAAGGGGACGGGCCCTGTTGTGAGGTGGGTTTCAGAGCAGATAACAGAGAAGGGGGGGTGCATCAGGGCGAGTGGGGGGGGAAGCAGCATCTTTCTGCTACACAAATGTAAACTTGAATACAGCAAGGAATGGCCCCACCTTTCCCGACCTGGTCCCTTCCAGATGCATTGAACTCCTACTCCCAGAATCCCCTGGCCAACACAGCAGGCAGGGGGATTCTGGAGTCACAAAGCAGCGTATCAGGAAGGCGCCAGGTTGGGGATCCGGGGCTAGCGATCACGGTGCCCTTTCTACCATAGCACTTTCCCAGCTGCCTTTCCCAGGCCTCAGCACGGACAGCCAGAACAGCTCTGCGGCGCCCGGTGAGCAAGCAGCCCAATACCCAGTCTTCCCAGCGCCTCTGAAGCCAGGCTGCCACGCACGTCTGACACGGGATTCCGGCGGCACCTTCCAAGCTTCAATGAACACTTTATGCCTATCCTGCTCATCTAGAAAAATCAAAGAGGGCAGGAAGCAGGGGGCGGGACGCAAGCCGAGGCTGCAGGCAAAACTCACAGACTCCCTGTTGAACTCACCTCACAGGGCTGTTGTTGTGAGGACAGGAATAAGAGGAGGAGGAGGAGCATTATGGAAACTGCCTTGAGTTCCTTGGGAGGAGCAAAGGTGGGACAGAAGTGCAATCACTATAGGATGGGTGGATGGGTGGACGGCAGGTTGCTTACCTGTAACTGTAATTCTTCCAGTGGCCACCTGTGTGCTGCACACAGGGCCTTGCCTGGGGTCTTGTGGGAACACCTCCCACCCCCACCATCCTTGGGTGCATGTCCCTTGCCTGTTCCCTCAGGTCCCCCGAGACCCCCCACTACAGCTTCAGGCGCGGAAGACGACTGCTTGGTAGCCGCCTTGGTAACAGCATGGAAGCGGGGTGGTGGGGAGGCTTGTGAATGCACAGGTGGCCAGTGAGTTACAGGTACAGGCAAGCAACCTGCCTCTCCTCGTCATCGTCCCTGCGCATCACCCATACAGGTGAGCGGCACGCCGGTGCGCTGGAGGTGGATCAGGTTCCCATGAGGCAGATGATCAGAGGGCGCAAGCGAGGCTACGGCCAGCCCTCGCCTAAAGCACGTGGACGCCTCCAGCCAGGTGCCGGCCTGACGACGCACTAGTGGGCTCACTGCCCTTCCAAGCGGGATCCACGCAGCAACCGCTCTGGCTGAGCGTGTCCTCCGCTGGCCACGGGGTGCGAGAGCCACGCCACTTTTATTGTCTGGACCACCCGGACAGCAAACTGCTGCAAAGAGACGGGAAGCCCCCGAAGCTGCCTCTGCACCAGGTGAAGGGCTGGGATGCCTGGAGGAGTGACTCCACCCCCAGCCTGTGGAAGGGGCGACGTGGCGGCTCACGCATCCGACCGGTGCTGCCGGCGCTGCCGATACTCTCCCCTGACCCGGTGGAGAGGCGAGGCGAGCTGTGCCTGCCTCGGCCGCCGGGAGGACACGACCCACTTCGTGCTTCTCTGGCGTCCTTGTGAGAAGAAAGACCAGCGTCCCTGTACACCCGAGTGGGGAACGGTCTTCCTAGGATGCCGTGCCTCCTCCTGCTCTGCTGGAAGCCCCTCTCAACATGGGCCACGGCCGCGTCCACCCAGCAACCCTCCCCTCCCGCTGCTGGAACAGGGCCCGGCACCCTCGATGCTAGCTGCATCTCGAGCGACGCTTGGCGCGTCCGGCCCAGGCAATCCCCCAAGAGGACGCCCACGCTGGCAAAAGGCACAGCAGCTCGTCTTGCTCCTCGAAAAGCAGGCCAGGCAAAGTCCCTAAGTCGGTGAGATTTTGTTCTTCCTTGTTTATTTGGGCCACAAGCCTGTCGCACCGTCTGCCACAACTGGAACAAGTTGGCCCCACATCCATCTTGAACATTCTCGGCACCTTCTTGACTGTCAAGAGGAATTCAGTGCATCAGGAGATGCTTCCTTTCACTAGGAGCCCTTCGCCAGCTGCTCAGTGGTTCCGCCAAGCCTGCTCTGGGCAAGCCTGCAGGTGCGCGGCCCTCGGCCCCTGGCCCCGCCAAGCACAGACTGGGCCCATGCGCTGGGGTGGTTTGCCCCTGAACCAGACACACCTGCGGGATGGCGCCTTTAGGCCATGCGCCCCAAAGCAGCTGAGGAGATGGCAAAAGCAGAACGCAAAGCAAACCACCTACAAGACAGAGAAAAAAGCCACGGCAGGACAAGAAGAACAATGCAGTGGGATTGAACGATGACAGCAGTTCGCAAGAAGGCTCCCACAAGGCACTCAAACAGCGACCGACGGGCCGGGCCAGGCCGGGCGGGAACGACAGGCACAAAAGGATGGGGGAGGAGGAGGCTTCCTGCCCAAAATAGGCCTCCAGGCCAGCACAGAGCGTGCCAGCGCGATGCACGGCGACCGGAAAGGGGACCGAGGCTGTCGCACCCTGGGCGCATCGTGAGAAGGCGATTGTGTGTCAAAAGCAGAAGCAAAGGACGACCAAATGTGAGCTGGACCGACTCCATAAAGGAAGCCAGCCCCTGGAATCTGCAAGAGCTGGGCAGGGCTGCTGTGGGCGGGACGTCCTGGAGAGCCTCCCTTCCTGCGGTCGCCGTACGTCAGAGGTGGCTGGACGGCGCACGACGGCAACGCGCTCCGAAAGAGGGATCCCCGCCCTTCCGCGCCACGCGGCCCTTCGTCACTCGCTCCGTGGCAGCTGCAGCCAAGCGTCCGGGCAACGCAACACGAGGTGCTCAGTCCACACCACCCACCTGGTCCAAGGCTGCTGGCGAGCACGTCCTGGCCCACGTGGCTTACGCAGGGCAGGCCTGCAGGCCAAAAGGTCCAGGGGGCCGCACACGGCCACTTCTCTCTTCCAGAAGAAGCGGCCTCCTCCCTGCTTTTTTAAAGGCACCCCAACCCCAACGCCCCAGGCCCCTTCCTCATCCACCTGCTCACCCCATCTCCCTGCCCCCGCTGCCCCACTCTGACCTCCCTTCGCTGGGGGGGTTCGGGATGATTGCTCTGCTCCCCCACTCTCGTGCAGGGGAACTGCAGGCGGCGTTCCAGGGCCCCGGATCTGCTTACAGGAGACCGGCCCCGGCTCGGCCGGTGGAACCCCTCGCCTGCAGGCTCCCAGGCCAGAGGCGTCGGGAGAGCGATGCCGAGCACAGCAGAGACGCCCTCCGGAGGGACTCTGCCCGCAGCCTCGCTCGGACACCAGCGGGCGTGCGGGTTGGCAAGGTCTCCATTCCTGCAGCAGCTCCCAGCTGGATTGCCATTTCTTACCACCTTCTGTCAGCGGCGTCCTGCAAGCCCCACGCGTGAGAAGGCGGGCCAGGCACAAAGGGCGGCCCTTTGCCTGCCCTGAATGGCCGAGACGCAGGCAGAGGGACCCACCATGTTCGGCTGCCATCCCTCGACGTTGACACAGCGGTCGATGCACCACCAGAAGTCGTCCTCGGACTCTCCCTTCCAGGCGAAGACGGGGAACCCTGCGTGGGAGATGCGGAAAGTGGGCCCGAGTGGCAGCAGCGGGCAGATCCAGGCACAGGGTGCGGCCCGTGCACGGGGGCGCTGCCTTCCTGGGAGCCGGGCCGGCCCTGTCGGAACCCACCAGCCAGCCTCCGCCGTCTTCCTCTCCTGCACGGCCGGGCCCAGGGGAGGCTTGTCAGGGGTGGCAGCGCCCGCTGCCGGACTGGCGACCTTTGCCCCCACCTGCTGCTGCTGCTCGGAGGGCAGGTGCGGAAGGGGGGCCTGTGAGCAGGTGGGCCAAGCCATTCCGGGCGGCCAAGCCTCTCCCGTGCCCAGTGCTGCCGGCAGCAGGTGCGCATGGGGGGGCCCTTGCACAGCCAGAGCCACCCAGCTCCTGGTGAACACCCCGTGAACACCGGGCTGCTTGCCAGGAACCGGAAAGTGGACGAGGGTCCAGGGAGCCAAGCGTGGGGCGCCAGCAGATTCCCACCCCAGGCAGATTCCTCACACAACCCCGGCCCTCATCCACCGCAGTGAGGAACAGCTGCCCCCCATGTTAGGGGGCCAGGACCCTCCACTGGCACACGGGCAGATACCAAACTACAGCGAATTCGTCTCCCTCTGAACATTCGTGTCCCCACGCAAGAGTCTGGTCCCTGTGGTGCTGGAATGGCCCAGGAGCTGCCTTGGCACGCCCCGGCTCAGGCTCCAGGTGTTTAGGACTACGATTCCTCGCGTTCTTGCACGCAGACCTTGCAGTCCCATCGGCTGAGGGCACCTGAAGTCCAAAACCTCTGGAACACACCAGACTGGGGGGGGCTGGCCGAGTCCTTAACCGCTTCGCTAGTGCCCGTGACGAGGGCCCACGTGGGCCGAGCAGCCCCTGAAGCCAGGCCAGCCGGGGGAAGCCGCTCCGACCACCGAAGTGGACCAGGCCGAGAGCGTGGTAAGGAAGTTAACGGAGGCTGGGGGCAGGGGCCCACGGAGCGGGGAGGCCACCCATGCCCACGGCTGGCATAAGGCCGAGTCGGCCACCCAGCCCCAGCTACGGGGTCTCTGTGAAAAAATTCGGGGGCCAGGCCCAGAGTTCCCGCCGTGCCATCCACCAGGGACGAGGCAAGGCCGGGGCCTTGGGAGAGAGAGGCCGTGCCCCCGACAAGCCACAGGGCCGAGGGGACCCACCCTTCCTTTCTACGCCTGGGCACCTCTGCCAACGCCGCCACTCCTCTCCCGAGCCAGGAGGGCCGCGCGTGGCACCCAGCTGAAGCTGCTGCTCCTTCAGCCAAGAGGGCAAATGCACCCGAGTCCAGGGGGACAGAAGAGGAGCGTCCCAAGGCCAGGAGCTCTGGCCTCGATTCTTTCTCTAAGCACCGAGCAGCGGCTGCCCCCCGCGTCCGCGCGCGGCACCATCAACCGGGCCGCTTGCTCAGGCCTTGCTGCTTCAGCGACCTCCGGCCCTTACCGCTCTCAGCCAGGGCCGCGGCCACTTCGTTGAGGGTGGAGTAGATGTTGCAGGCGGCCCACCGGCACTGGGCGCCCAAGGCACCGAGGGTCTCCATGAGGACCTGCAGCGTGGAGGGGGAAGCAGGGTGAGCCGGCCCGGCCCGGCCAGCGCCACACACACCGGCAGGAGGCAGGGCGAGCCACGCCGTGGCAGCGACAGCCGTGCTCGCCGCCCGTGACGCTTGGCTTGTCTGCACACCGGGCATGTTATGAGTAGCATTAGCACATGCCAGCTTTCCTGAACACACGCCAGCAGGAGGCAGCATGGAGCCAACCCACTGATCCATTCCAGCCAGTAATATTACCTCCATCCCAAATGCTAGAACCCCAGACCCCACTGCTTGGCTTCCTACTTTTCTGTAGTACCTTCTTCTCACTTTACATGCACAGAAAACCATGCATTCTCTCTGCAAACACCCCACTGCTTGCCCTGAGCTCACCGGTGGCGAGCAAAGCCGAACAGCCGTCGGAGAAATGCCCCCTACCCAGATCGGGACCGCCACAGCATGCAAAATAATGGCTGGAAGGGCAGGAGGGGGGGCTGCCAGGTGACTGTGGTGGCAGGTGAGCCTAGGAATCGACCCTGCCCAGGGCTTGAAGAATGGGCACCAGCAGGCAGCAGCTCCAGAAGCAACCCGGGAAAACAAGTGCCAGCCCTGGAAGACGACGCAGGGTGGGAGCGCCAGGCCCTGCCGCACGGCACGCCGACTCCCGGGCAAGCCTCCACCACCCTGCCCCACAAATGAACCTCCTAATGCGTGCGCACAGGGCAGATCTGGGCTTCAGCGAAGTGGGGCCTTGGTGGCAGGCTTACCTGGCGTGCAACAACAGCGGGCAGCCCTCTTGCTTTCCCCCAAACCCCTCGATGCACCCTCACCCCAGGACACGGCCGGGCCCGTACGCCTGTGGCTGCAGACCGGCCGCCTGGCCACCCATGGGGAAAGCCCAGCAGTGACGGGGCTGCGGGGGCGCAAGGGCTGCGGAGCTGCGCACGGGGCAGGGCTGGCAATGCCAGGGCGAGAGCGAGTCGCCACAAGCTCAGCTGCCGGAGAACCGCAGGGCAGGGACTCGATGGCGCGAGGCGAATGGGGCCTGCCTCCTGAGAGCACGCCTGGATTCCTCAAGGGGGAGCACGGCGGGATTTGTGAGGCACCCGGGGATTTCCTAGGGAAGACACGGGGCATCTGGACGGCCCGCCTGCTCCCCCATCCCAGTGCCATGCCGGGGATATTGGGTCCAGGTGGGCGTGTGTGAGCTGAGTGCGGCGAGCGGGTGCAGGTGCGCTTACCGCGGTCTGGGCAGTGATATGCGTGCAGCCCACGATCTTGGCTCCGGCCAGCGGCTTCTCTCCCTGAGCTCGTTTCCTCAAGGCCATGAGCGCAGGCATTTCTGCGAGGGAGGAGAAAGGAAATCGCATTGTGGTGGACGCTGGCGAGCAACCCCCCAAAGCGGCGGGGGGCAGGAGACCTTTCCCAGACGGCACCCCCTTCCATCATTTCCTCCAAGTCATGGCAGCCAGCACGGCCAGGATCCGTGCCCCAGGCCACGCTTGCAGTGCGTGGGGACGGAACACGCGGGCTGGTTTCGCCAGGGCCTGCGCCGCAGTCCCAAGGCTGGGGAAGGGCGCTGCCAGGGCTGGGGCGTCACGGTCTGAACGCCGAGGGATTGAGCTGGTGTGAGCTGACAGAGACGCTGAGCAACTATAGGCGGTTCCCTTCAGGTTCCGGAAAAAATCAAACCAAAGACGCGCTCCTGCACTTAGGTGAGGAAATGCTCCGATGGAGGCGTTCCACATTGTCCCAGAAACAGAGCGAGCCAGAGGGAGCCTCCTGGGCCATCTAGTCTGACCCCCGGCTCCAGCCGGCTCCGCTCACGACATGCCCACCATGTGCATGTCCAGCCTGTCCTTGAACACCCGCACCGGTGGGGCTTCCACCACCTCCCGGGGAAGCCCATTCCATCCCCTCGGGGTCCCAACTGTCAGGAAGTGCTTCCTGGCATCTATACTACTTCCTGGTACGCCAGGGCCATGACAGGCAGCGACAACACGTGCCGCCTGAACGACCCAGGGATCTCCACCCCAGGTAAGCTGCGAATCTCACACGTTCAAGAACTTCCGAAACAGCTCCCCTGCTCTGCCCACGAGAGTCAAGGGCTAAATGACACGAGACGCTGGCAATCGCGGGCTTGGGGGCCACGTCTGCCCACAGGAACACAAGTGACGTGGGCACCCCACTCCACGTCCGATTTTCTTCGGCAAATGCCTCCCTCTTCCGCAGGGACTTGAGAGCCTCCTTCCGCACAGGAGGCGCCTCACCCAAAGCAGGAGGCGGGCACAGCTGTTACGAGCACAAAATGTCTGTGCCCTCTGCTTGGAGAGAAACGTGAGGCTTCTGTTCTGTGGAACATCGTACGGAGCCCTGTTCAATCCATGGACAGATTTCCCGGCCAGTGCAGAGCAGGGACGATGTTGGAAATCATTATGGAGTGTCGGAGATGCACGAAAAGAGCCCTCCATGTTTCCTGCCCCCTTTTCTTGCCCCATGGTAGTCTGAGAGATGTTTCGTCTCCTGTTCCTTTGATACAGGAGAGCTGTGGGGCGCTGGGACAGGTTCGAGGAGTCCACCTGTCCACTCAGCTGTGCCAGGACAGGAGTGCAGCCGATGCCTACAAGACCGAGAGCCCGTAACGAGCCAAACGTGGCCCTCGGTTACATCTGTCCCTCACCTTGCTCAGCAATTTCTATTTCCCGACGCCCGAATTCAGCCTGTTTGATGTTTTTCACGCAGAAGTCGCTGCTGCCTTTGGAGTTCTTCTGCTGCTTGTCCCGGGGGGAGGTTTCATCATCGGAGCTGTCTGTGTAAGAAGCAGCTGGAGAAAGAGAAGGCCCAATGAGAGAAGTGCCACCACAACCCCTGGCAGCCCCCCAGGAAGTGGGCAGGGAAAGAGATCTAGAAGACACAGTTCTGCCCCAAAGACCGCGAGGGGAGGCAGTGCACCAGGCCCAGGGTTCAGGAGAAAGGCCCGCCACTCTCCCCAGGGTGAGCTGGATGCTGCAGGGGCGCAGACGTGCCCGTATTCTGCTCCCAGTGCGACCAACAAGGTGCCACAGGAGGAAGGCCACAGGCAGGACACCAGCACCTTCCCGCTTGTGTTCCAGGCAAGTGGTATCCGAGGGATGGTGGCCCTGGGCCCAGCAGCTGTGGGCAGCAGCCAGCGCGCCTGGTAGCCCCCGACAGGAAGTTACCTAATCCCACTGTGGAGCACTACATATTGTGGTGGCAAATCCCACAGTTTAAGTATGTGCCCTGTGGAGTAGCACTTTCCATCTGCCCCACTGTTCCGGTTCAGTGCATGACCCCTTTGGGTTCCAGTGTCGCGGGACAGAGAGAAAACTGTCCCCCTGCCCGTTTTGCCCACCTCAGGCTAGGTTTATTTACACGCATCCTCCCCCTTGCTCACTTTTTCTAAGCCACTTGGTAAACTGCCCACGGGCTTTTACAATTTCCCCAACAAGAATTACGGCCCTGGCTCCTGTGGAAGAGACCCTATTCCCAGGTCTATCTCACTTGCTCTACCAGGGCCAAAGCTCGGCAGTCCAGCCTGGGAAACGCACTGGCAGCGGGGAGGCACGGGATGCCATTGGGCTCGGGGGCTGTGGGAGCTACGGGGGCGGATGCGCACAGGCAGCGGCCGGAGTGCTCGCTGCTGCAGAGCCACGGCCAATCGTGGGCCGTGCAAGCGGCGGGCAGTCCCGTGTTAACCAGGCCATGGTGGTGGTTCAGCAAAGCCGACTTAAGTCCCTGGCTCACCCAGGTGCAGAGAGAAACAAGAACTGCAGCAGTGGCAAAGGGGCGGAGAGCCAAGCTGCACCTTCTTTGCCTCCCATATTTAAAGCTCAGGCAAATGGTTCTCTTGCCCTTCCGATAATTCAATTTCAGAGGCAGCACAGAGAGCGAGTCAGATCCTGGTATGATGGCAGTACAAATCAGAGCCCTCCTACAAGAATTTGTCGGCCGTCTCGACGGGCAACACCAAGCTACCCTGGCCCCCAGGAGCCACACGGCAAACGCTGTCCAGGTGTCCTCCATGCGCAGCCCTTGCCGCTCTCCCTCTGGCTCTGCTACGTCTCACTCACCTCGGCTTATCTGCTTGCTTACAGACCGACTTGGCTTCCTGTCCGGTTCTGACCACAATGAAATCTGTGACACAGCAGGGAGTTCATTGTCGTGAGAGTCACACGAGAAAATCCTCGGCACATCCATGTCGTCTGCACGGAACCCTTCCCCTCGAGAGAGAAGGGTCGTGTGTGTGCGCACAGACGGGGCATCCCCGAGACTGTCCTGCCGGCCCACAGAGCGGCTGGTCGATCAAAGCCTTGCCCAGGGCCAGAGGGGTCATAAACGGCCATTGTGACCTTGGGAAGGAAGAGCGCATCACACAGGTTCTCACTGCCAGGCGGGGAGCTTCCCGCCTCTCCTGCTGCCAAGTCATGGCCAAAGGCAAACGGAAAGCAGGCGAAGGCCACGCGGTCCAGCAGCCCCCGGAAAGGGACGTCGGCACCTGCAGACTTCTCGGCCGGCTCTTCCGGGGCTCCGGGCTCACGCCACCCCTCCTCCGCTCTCACTTGCATGGTGCGCAGCATGTTCGGGGACACGTATTTGCAAGCCTGCGATCGCTTAAAGCAGGGCAAGTACTAACGGGCCGTGACGCTGAGCAGAGCGCTTGACCTAAGGGAGAACGCACAGGCAGGCCTGCTGCCCCCGAGCATGGGCGGGCGAGCCCAGTGGCCCGTCTCCTGGAGCCAGCCCGGCACGGCCTGAAACGAGGGGCATCCCCGCGGCTGCTCCCCGGAACGGGGCCCCAGGGGCATGCAAAGCTGTCCCCCGGCATGGAGGCTCTGCGACGACCTCCCATGAGCTTCTCAGGCCCCGCTTCAGAGCCATTTCAAATGGGGCTCCCGCCACACCCCCAAACAAGTTCCATGAATACACCAATTGCACGCTTGCCATAACTGCAGTACTGGGGTTTTATGTTTCACAAGTGACCTGGAAATTTCCCCACACCTTCTCGACTTGGAAACATGACGGATGCACCTGAAAACGTCACCGTTTGCTTCGAGGGCAAGCCCTAGAAGTAGGGACACAGAAAGCTGGTCCAAAGCCGTGGGGACCACTGAGTGGGGCTGGCTCCCAAGACGCCGAGCAGAGAGAGCAGCTCCCATCGCAAGGGCGTCCCATCCCTTCCCCACTGCCTCTCTCTGAGGCAGGTGCCAGGAACCAGGCTGGGGACGGGCTGCACACAAGCGCACGCTCCGCCACCGCGCAACGGTCTCTCCCCGATCCGGACCCTGCTCAGAACCGCGTCGGCCGAGCCCCGGCTGGCCACGCGTGCGCTTCGCCCACCGCCCTTCTCCTCCTCTCGCACTCCCATCTTCCCTTCTTGCCCCGCCTCCCAACAACCATTTTTGTTATTGCATCCAGACCGGATAAACCGTATCTGCCACAAACCAGCATTCACCGCCGCATCAGAGCGGAAAGCCCCCCCCCCGTGCCCACGGAGCGGCAATTAAGGGGCTGGAGGGGGCAAGCACAGCCAGGCAGTTCCCTCCTCTTTGATCTCTCCCAGGATCATTAAGCCTGGCGATTAAGGGAAAAAACCCACAGAAGAATATAAATATTCATTTCTTAAACTATTTTGTGTCGCCTTTCAAGGCAAAGCCTGCTCAAAGCAGTTTACAAGGTGCCTTTTAAAAGCAAAACATAAAATACAGCCAACTAAAGCAGCGAACCATAAATTAAGAATGGATGAGAACATGCCAATCTTCAGGTTGCATTTCGAAGTGAGGAAGGACCCTCGTGCAAATCCCAGAGGCGGGGCACCGCACTATCGGCCGTGCTCCCGAACCCGGCCAGCGTTACTGAGCAGGGCCTCCGTGGCTGGCATCAAGGCAGGCTCATTGAGAGCTGCCGAATGACCTTCGACTGACTGGCCCCCAAGTCCTTCCGAGGTTTAAGGTGATCCCTGTAAACCGGCTCAGAAATACACCTTCCACCAGTGCCACTGCTAAGCAGCTGGTTTCATATGCCCCGATCACCCGCCTCCCACAGACAAAAGGAAGCAGCATTTGGCACCAGGAGAAGAAGGGGAAAGGTTCTGGAGGCAGCGCCGCACATGCACTGCCATGGCCTACTCTGGATCGATGGATTTAATTCCTACACCGCCCAACCGCCGGAGCCCTCCGGGTGGTCCACAGAGCACATCAGAAGTAACAGTAAATTTTATGGATGCAACCAGAACATGCATGACAGACGCAAGATTTGCTCTTCCCAGGTTCCTGGGCTTGAGCCCTTCAGTTTTGTGTTTTATGTATTTACAGGGTTGCAGACTTTTGCTTTGATTTTACCCAGTTTAAATTTTTGAAGTGTGAGGTTTTAAATTAAGAGTTATCAACTGGTATTTTAGGGTGTTAACTCCTGTGAACGACTCAAGAGAGCTGGGTGGGTTCGACATGGAATCCGTAAATGAGCCAATGCCAATACCGCTGGCAGACCAGTCACTGGTGACAGAAAGCACACCTGAGAACCTGCACAGCCCCCGTCTTTCCAGGAAAGAAGGCCCAAACGTCATGCTTGGTCCTTTGGTGGGGGCAACCCATCCAACACAGGACTCACACCTCCACTTGGGCTGGCAGAGTCCCTCCTGCACAGGAGCTCCAACTCACCTGGATTCAATCTCCATTTGCTTGCCCTCCGTCATCTCAAAAGTGCCGAAATGACACGTGGTGCAGGAGCCCTTTTGCCCCGCCCTTTACCTTAAAGACCAGTTGGAGCGCAACATGGACGCCTGCATTAGCAGAAGCGCAGGGCACTTTCCCCATTTCCGTGTTCAGGGAAGAGCGGCCTTCAGCTGCACACGCTGCCACTTGGGTGGCCCGGTGCTCTCAGGAGGAACACTCCCGCTTGCAGCCTCCCCCGCCAACTGCGAACGGTGCCCAGCAACCAACAACTCTTTCTGAACCTAGTTTCAATCCCGGAGGAAATGTGCGAACTCACATTTTTGTCTGTGACCTGCTACCCAAGATGAAGACATGCCTGGAACAGCCTCACTCACATCCTGGGAATTCTCTAAGAAGACGCTGAGGCCAACGATACGTACCAGAGCTGTAACTGTCTGTTGATGACTGAGAGATGGATCGGGAGAGGGAACGACGGCCGATCTTCGTGGGGCGCTTGTTGAATTCCTGCTTTTGGTCAGCAAACTGGATCTGTCAAGAGAAGCCCAGTGTTAGCGAACGGAGGAAAAACGAAGCAGCCGTCATGTGATCGGTCCAGGTTCTCCGCTGGGTCAAGGGAACGCCATCAGGATTGGTGACGAGGAGGGACTGAAATGTCCTCACCTCGTTTGGCTGCATGTTGGCCGTCTCAGTCCAAGCAACGTGCTACACAAGAGCCCACAACCTTTCCCATCGCAGCCGTCTTAAAGTTCACCGCACACACACATTCCAAGCAACAGGTGTTATCCGATGCAGGCCATCTGCCCGCTCTGAGCCTATTGTGCTGGCAGGAATGGCTGCCACCACAGTGGGATGGCGGTGCTTGCTAGCCCAACCTTTAAAAACCACCACTTTCAGCACGCAACCGGCCAACAGAACCCAATTCCCGAGGCTGTGCAAGCGCACCTTAATCTCCTGTTACACCAGTGGCCATTCCCCAGTTTTTTCCTTCCCTCTCCCATGAAAAACCTGCCCCGGTTTCTCAAGATGGCAGGCTGCTTTGGATCCTGCAACGTAGGAATGATGAGACCTGAAGCACCCACGAGTCTGCACCAAATTATGCCGCCATTTCCTTTCCATTCCTGCACAGGGGGTGGTCTTGGCATCTGACTGACGGATTGCTCAGAACTGGGATCTGGTGGCAGGAATTTGAAAAATATTTCACACCCTACTAGCAGGGCAATGGCAAGTGAGCCTTTTTTCTTTAAAGAGGAAGGCGTGCCGCAGCCCCACGGCACGGGGACCATTTCCAGGGGAGGAGGTGGTCGTGGCAGCTCAGTTCGGTGCCTGGGCGTGTGTGGCATCGGTGCGTAAAAGCATTTCCGTACAACCTGGAACTAGACAGTGGCAGAGAAATGGGGAAAGGGAAGGGGCCGCTGGGACGGCAGGAGTAAAACAGACAGCAGGGGTGGGGGGGGGGGCAGGTGAAGAGCAGGGCCCTCTCCTTCTGCACAGCAATTGCCCAGACCCTGAGCTCATGTTCAGCGGGTCCCGTCAGGTAAAAGCCAACTCTTCAGGGAAAAAGCAGGGCTTGCCGGCATCAGGGGGCTGGTGGAAGAATTTAACAGGGGAGGCCTCCCAGGCATTTCCACAGCCTGGGGTCAGATGCCGAGAAGGGCCTCTCCACCCATTCCAGGTGGCAGGCAGCTCGGTGGTGAGGGGGCAGCTCCTGCGTAGTCTTCCTGGACCGCCCTCCTAGGGCCATGGCCAGCGGAGTGAGGCACGGCAGAGCGAAGCAGCTTCCCAGACGTCGTACTAATTCCCCCAACCCATCTTGTTCCCGAGGGGCTTGCTGTCCAATCGTTGAAGAAGCTTCTGACAATGACCAGCTCATTCGTAACAGTGGAACATTGTGGTTAATTGCACACCTATATTTCTGGAACAATCAGTGCTTGATTAACCCAAGATCTGCCAGGATAGCGTGCTGTTGCCGTTTTGAAGATGCAACCTCCAATTGCCTTGATCACAGGTTGTTCTCCAACATGCAGACACAGACACTACAGGCCAATCACCCCACGATTAACTTGCAATCAGTTGCTCTCTTAACCTTGGGTTAATCAATTAACTTACAATTTGTCACTACTGTGTACAAATGAGGCCTTTACGCTGAGTTAGAAAAGAAACCCTGGAGAACAAACGCCACGGCCTTATACAACACTCAGTTGGATGAACTGCGTGAGGCAATGATCTGAGTCAGGTAAGGCAAAACCAAAACTTTGAAATATGAAGCTCAGATTCCTTATCCAGATAATTTTCTTGATGGCGGTGCCATTTTTAATCTAGCCTGTGGCGCAACTTTCAGTTCTGCTTTTGGAGGTTTGTTTGGCAGGTGGAAACCTAAAAGGAGCATCCTCACTTTGCCCGACTAAAAGCAAGCTGCCTGAAAACAGCTCTTCCCCAGGACGCATGAAATGAGAGTTCCCTGTTAGTCACCGGATCCCTTCTTGCCATCCAAAGCCAGAGCAAGCAGGGATACCTGTTACCTAACGGGGCCAGTTTGCTCCAAAAGACTAGACTACATTAGGGGGTAAAAACCTTCCTTTCACAGAGTCACGGAATCACGGAATGGTGGAGCTGGAAGGGGCCAAGGAGGCGATCGGGGCCACCCCCTGCTGCTGCCGGTCCCTAGCTCGCAGCACCCCACTCGAGCGGCCGTCCATTTCTGCATCCATGTGACTTCTGCACGGCAGATTCTGGGGCCCTCGAACGCGCATGCGGAGCAGTGCGCGGCTCTGCCCTGTGGCGGCTGGGCAGGCACCGCTTGGAGAGGTCTGCTAGCCGAGCACATCCGGCACTTGCAGCCTAATTTGCGGGAGGACGGCAGCGGTGACCTGGGGCGCATCCTGCACAAGACCCTTCTCGTCCCCCGCAGGGCCCGTCGCGTGGTCCCTTCTCCTTCGCTGGGCACATCCTTCCGGGAGCACCATCCCTGCCGGTCCCGCCGCGTCTCCCCGTGGAGGCCGGGGAGGGACAGGAGGCTCCTTCTCACCTCCCGCCCGGTCACTGTGGAGCTTTTGCGCTTGACCTCGTGGAAAACTGAGGCAAAAGCAGGCGGGTGGACGGACGGATGGACGCTCTGGTGCTGGCGCTCTGCTCACCTCCGAGGGGAGAGGAGACAGGAGGAAGGCCCTCCTCTGCCACCACAAGAAACGGAAAGGCTTCCCTCACCTGCGCTTTAATCCCGGAGTCGCCGTTCACCACGTACTTCCTTTGGTTCGGCATCGTGCGCTACCCGCGGCGGCCGCGCGGCGCTCCCCGGAGGCGGCTGGCCATCCCCTCGTCCCTCCCTCCCTCCCTCCCTCCAGCAGCGCCCTGGCTGCTCTGGTTTCAGGGCTCTTGCTCGGGAAGGAGGACGAGGAGGACGACGGGCAGAGGCGGGCGGGAGGCAGGCTGTGGGAGGTAAGGAGGGCTCCTGCCTCTCCCGGCCAGGCCAGGCCAGGGCTCCATTTCGCGGAGGAAGAAGCCGCGTCTAATGAGGCGCTGCGCCTGCCTGCCTGCCGCCCACTCCCCACCCTGCCCTGCCCGTCTTCTCCCTTGATTTCCTCCTCTTTTCCCCTCACCTCAAAAGCATTAAGCTGCAGGTCCCCAACCTGGCCTGGCCTGTGCATGCAGGAGAATAGCTTGTTTACGTAACTGGCCCATTTCCTTGTCTGCCATAATTCACTTGCTAATTAGGCACCTTTTAACTTGGGTCTCTCCCCCTCCCCTTCCCCCAACCTCCCTGTTCTCAGGGTCGGATTATGTTTAAACAGAGGCTTGTTAGAACAAAGTTAACTAATGAGCCACTGAAACAATGGAGGCATTTATGGCCAGCCTGGTGGCTGAGAAGCTCCCCCCACACGCCCGCACCTTCTGAAAAGCATTAGGGCAGTTGGGGGGGGATTCGGAGGGTCAAGACCTCTTGCAAAAACAGTGTAATTCAAGGAGCCTACAAGAGACCAGCACCTGCGTGGTTGTTTTCCCTCCCCTCCTTGCAAATGGAAAGGAATGAGGAAGGACGAAAGCTTGTCAACAGGTAGGCCTACGCTTCCCAAGAAGAGAACACCACCTGCCCTGCGGCCACCTCCTTCCAGCCTCTGTGGCAGAAGCAGGCATCTTTATTTATTTGTTTGTTTGTTTGTTTATCGATTTATATGCTGCCTTTTTCCTACAAAGGGCTCAAGGCAGCTTACATCATTCTCCTCCTCCATCTTATCCCCACAACAACAACCCCGTGAGGTAGGCTGGGCTGAGAGGCTGTGACTGGCCCACAGTCACCCCGTTGGCTCCATGGCTGAGCGGGGACTCGAACCCGGATCGCCTGAGTCCCGGTCCCGTGCTCTTCACCACTGCACCACCCTGGCTCTCCCAGTGCTCACACTGCATGGAACGACGCAATGGGTTCTCCACCGCCTTGGCAGGGCCGAGGGGGAGAAGGGCCCAAATGAAGCAGCTCTGGTGGAGACATTGCTGTCGAAGCCTCTCCTAGCGGTAGATCACAAAGCCTGAGAAATTCACCCGGGCGCGAAGCTCCGGTTATCACAAAATGTCCGACATGCAGGAAGCTGTCACCTTTTAACCGCAGGAGCATCGAGCCACGCCGCTGAACACCCCAAGAGGCAGACGGCCCGGAACGGAACGAGCGCGGCACCAACCGGGTGCGAAGGGCACCGCAGACACATGGGGGGCTATCGGGCCGGTGGTCCCTCACTCTGCTGACCCGAAACCACTGGACACGAATGGTATCACTCCCTCGTTTTTGGGGTGAGGACAAAAAGAGGGAAGCCGCCATGGGAAAACTAGGGTGCTACAAATGCAAGACACAAGAGTGCTCTGCGTTCGATTCCGGGTACTCGCACGATAAGGCCTTGTCCCGAAGTTATCGCTGGTCAGACCGGGCCAAGCTGGTTCTCTCTCAGCCTCCATTCTTCACCCGTAAAATGAGGCTACCTCTGGGGAACTATCTAGCCGCAATGGACCAACGGGACAAAAGGGGACAGGCCAGCAGAAAGAGGTTTTTATACAAGCACAGCATAGCAGTGGTGAGCAGGGGGCGACTTGCCCCAGAGCCGCCGCGGCAAAAGCTTCCTCCCGAGGCGCATGGAGCAATACAGGTGGTGTCTGCGCACAACTCTGCCTGCATGCAAAGGAAGCCCCGGCCTGGTTTTCCACGCGACAGCGGACAAGTGGCGCACGCGACAGATGCCCTTGTCGTTTCTGCTCTTAATTGACGTCTCTGGGACAGCAGGGTGTTCCTGCCCTGCTCCGTGATGTGCAGACCCAGAACTCTCGGGTTTCACTGGTTAAACAACCCGGGGTGAAGCCAGCAGGTGCTCATGGCAAAGGCCCCCCAGGATTTGCTGCCACGACCTGCCAGACGGGTCATCGAATCCCTGCGCACGATGGATATTATCACCTCAGGTGCCTTCCGCAAAGGCAAGACAAGCTGCTTGTGGCGAAGCTTCACAACCCTGAGGACAGAAGGCTCACTTTCAAGGGATCTCAAACTCTCA